ACTCAGGAACGTCTACTTTGGAAAGATAAGATAGTTTTAAAATGGGTTTTGAAATACAGAAATACAAAACGAGTGGTGAATTTTCTGTTTGATGGCACAGTGTAAAAGAGGCACTAAAATGAGAGAATCATTTTGTTCACTTCCTGAGAGAACAATGATCTAATCTGGATGAACAGTTACACAACTAAAAAAGCAGGGATTTACAGCAGGAAAGAAAATTAAGGGTTGTCCAATCTTTGGCTAGATGTTCAAAGTCAGTTTGAACTTTAACCACTGTAATCTAGTGATTTTTGTGGATTTTTGATTGTTCACTTTTTGTAAAAACTGGTTTTATTTTTGTTTACATTTTGCTGCTAACTGCTTAGATTGGGGGTTGGCAAACATTTTCTATAAAAGACCAGATAGTAAATATCTTAGGCTTTGCCATGCAATCACTATCACAATTACTCAGCCTTGCTACTGTAGCCCAAAGGCAACTGTAGACAATATAAACAAATAAACATGGTGGCAAATTTTCCATTAAAAAAAAAAAGCTTATTTACTAAAACAAGCAGCAAGCTGGATTTGGCCCATGGGCCATAGTTTGCTGATTCCTGTTTAAGACTCATAAAAACAATTTTTAAATAAATTAGTTGAATTTTGATTTTTCTCCAATTAAAGAAGCTGATTAGGTTTAAAACCCAAACCAGTAAAACCCCAAAGCCTAGCAGATGGCCCTAATGGTTCTGGAAACATGCGTTCCATCTAGTCCCTGGAAGTATTTTTCTTCTCCCTGCTTCACTGACATCTGAGACTGTCTCAGAAGACTTCCAGTCTGAAAGACAACAGCCTCCTCCGCAGGGGAATAAAAACCCAGTCCAGCATCATCTCTGAGTTAGGATCTTCTTAAGATTCAAAAGGCGCTGACCAGGCCAACAGTAACAGTGGGTAAGTTACTTATTTTTATTACTAAGCCTCAATTTCCTCAAAGCAGATCTACAACAGGAAAATAAAATGAGATACTATATGAAGGAATGCCTAAAACAATGCCTGGCACATAGCAGGTGTTCAACAACGGACAGTTCTCTTCTCGCTACCACTTCCCCTCCTTACCCACAAAACCCCTGGATTCTAAGTTCATTCATTTATCCTACTATTGTATATTCATTTAGGACTTACCATGTGTATTAAGGATTGTGCTTAACTGAGAATACAGCAGTAACACCGACAAGGTCCCTGTTCTCATTCTTGTGGGAAAACTGACATTAACACATACATTATTCAACAAGACGTTAGATAGTGATTAGTGCTACAAACAAAGTGATTAGATACAGGGTAATTGAGAATTTTGAATAGAATGAGCAGGGAAGGTTCCTCTGGAAAGGTGGCATATGACTTGAGACTTAAGGATAAAAATCAGCTCAATAAGTATCTGGGGAAAGAGTATTCTAGATGAGCTAAACAAGTACAAATTTCTAGAGGCTAGAAAGTTTCTAATATGCTCAACATCAGAAGTGAAGTAGGACTCATCTCCTGAAATAGCTTATCTCCAATGTCAGCCACTGTTCCATCCTCATCATGTCAGACAACAACACCCCTTTCTGCTTTGTTACCTTTGCAGCCATTTTACATTCCTGCCAGCAGTGTAGAAGGGTTCCAGTTTCTCCACATCCTCACCAATACTTGGTGCCTTTCTTTTAACTATATATAACAGCCATCCCAACCTGTGTGAGATGATATCTCATTGTAGTTTGATCTGCATTTCCTTGATGAATAGTGATTTTGAGCATCTTTTCATACACCTGTTGGCCATTTGTTAGCGGGAAGCATTCATTGGAGAAATATCTATTCTATTCTTTAGTCCATTTTCAAATATTTATTTTTAAAAATTGAAGTAGTTAGTTTACTTTTAAAAAACATTTAAAAATTATTTTAGCTCATTTTAAAATGAGGTTATTAGTCTTTTTTTGTTTGTTTCTTTTTTTCTTTTTTTTTGCTACTGAGGTGTAGGAGTTCCTTATATAGTTTGGAAATTAACCCCTTATCTGACGTATAGTTTGAAAAAAACTTCTCTCATCCCATAGGCTACCTATTCATTTTGTTGACTGTTTCCTTTGCTGTGTGGAAGCTTTTTAGTATGATGTAGTCTCCTTCATCTATTTTTGTTTTTGTTGCCTGTACTTTTGGTGTCATGTCCATGAAATCACTGCCAAGATTAATGTCATGAAGCTTTTCCTCTATGTTATCTTCTAGGAGTTTTATGGCTTCAGTCTTACATTTAAGTCTATAATCCATTTCGAATTGATTTTTGTATATGGTCTAAGCTAAGGGTCCAATTTCATTCTTTTGCATATGGATATTGGTTTCCCAACAATATTTATTTAAGAGGCTACCCTTTCCCTAGTGGATAATATTGGTACCTTTGCTGAAGATCAGCTGACCATACACGCATGGATTTATTTCTGGGCTCTCTACCTGGTTCAACTGGTCTATATATGTCTGTCTTTATGCCAGTATCACACTGTTTTAACTACTGTAGTTTTATAATATATTTTAAAATCATGAAGCATGATGGTTCCATTTTTATTCTTTTTCTCAAGATTACTTTGTTTATTCAGGGTCTTTTGTTGTTCATATGAATTTAGGATTGTTTTTTCCTACTTCTGTAAAAAAAATGACACTGGGATTTTTGATAGAGACTGCAAGGAAACTGTCAATCACTTTGAGTAGTACGGATGTTTTAACATTAAGTCTTCCACGCCACAAACATGTCATTTGTTTGTGTCTAATTTTTTTTAATCAGTGTTTTGTAGTTTTCAGTTTATAAATTTTTCATCTCCTTAATTAAGTTTATTCCTAAGTATTTTATTCTTTTTAGTGCTATTGTAAGTAAGATTGTTCTCCTAATTTCCTTTTCAAATAGCTCATTGTCAGTGTACAGAAAAGCAACTAATATTTGTACGTAATTTTGTTTTCTGCAACTTCATTGAATTTATTTCTTTGTGTGGAGTCTTCAGAGTACCTATAAATAAGATCATGTCATCTGCAAACAAGAACAATTTTATTTCTTCCTTCTTAGTTGTGTGACCATGCCTATCAGCCTTTCTGAATTTCCAGAAAATCTGAAATCTGGAATATCTTTACTATGAGCTTCCCAAGGACATTATGAGGCTCCAGCAACTAGTAAGTGAAAGCTATTTGTAAAATGTTAAATATTATATGAATTTAAGTTATATAATCATGCATTCTTTGGTTATGATTCATAAATCTCATACCTAAAATATTACTATTATAAATGTTTTAACAGGAATAAAATCTGTTTAGGAACTGTACCTTTTTATTTGTTAAAGTTGCTTTTAAATGTCATTAGACTTGACGGCAGAAACATTGCTAGTTTCAGTAAAAGTGCTTTAAAAACTTTAGTGTTAAGTAATTTAATATAGTCCACCAAAATGCAAACAATAGAGCAACTATATTAGTTCATGCAATGCTCTACACATGGAATCCTGGGCCCATAATTAACCATTTAGGGTAACACTCATAAACTATACAGTGTGCAGTAAACAGGTCTACCAAGTAAATGAAAGAACCCCTAAACTATGATGCAAACTGGGACTTGATTTTAAATCTTTAGAAACAGAGGATTGTTTTAATTCTAGAAGTAGGGGAGGAGAAAGTCACATCCCTTAAATAAACAGTACATCAGGTCTCTATAAGACCTCCAATTTCCCACATGACACATGCCCATTTAGGAGCTCAAAGATCAGGTTTCATAAAATAATACACTGTTAATAACATAAGTAATTAATCATGATTGTAAACCAATGCCCCTATTAACAGGAGCTGGGAGTCTATCATATCTATTTTAAATTTTTGTTCATACCAATTTATAAGTGCCTTATTCCTGTTGGTCCCAATGAGGACACCAGGTAGAACTTGTATTTGGCCACTTGACAATCACCTGAATTCAAAAATCTTAAGTCCATATCTTCTTACATTTCCCGTATCTTGCCATCATTCTGAATAGCAGTCAAAATTATGTCACTCGTTAGAAGTGACAAAACATTATTATTAGCACGATTCCCCACTTCTTATGTATAAAAGACTGGTAATAGGCCACCTGCCCACTTTGGTTTTTGAACTCCAGAGAACACTGATCTTCTCATCAAGGCAGGGAAGATCATGAATTTTTTTTTTCTCATTTACTCCTCTCTGCTTGACTGGACAGTAATCCCTAAAAGGGACATGATAATAACTGCTGCTTTTCATACACTGGTCATAGTCCTTCACGGCCTCTATTCTGTGCCTGAGCAAATCATCATATTTCCAGAAAAAAATAAAACACAGGTTTTTAATGATTTTTATTACTTCCTAAAGTGATATAACTTCAGATATCTTAATTGTCTAAAGAATGTAAATGGATGTATACTCCCCAGATCAACTTTCTAAAAAGGAAGTCCAGATACTAAAAATAAATGCAAGATGTGGAATGCTGGGAAATATCAAGAGCAGACCAGGCAACTTGTGTGCGACCGTTAGAGATGGGGAGACTGACTCTGAGCAAAGCTATTAGGCTGCCTTAGAGACCAGAGAAGAAAGAGCCACAAGAGTTCTGGTGAACAGAACTTACAGCTGCAATCTAAAGGCAAGTTTAACATACACGGAGTATAGGAAAAACTTGCCATATATACTACATATCTAATGTAGTAAAAACATTGCCACATGAGGAAAGCACAAATGTCTTCAAACAGAATGACAACAATATTATCAATATAACTAGTGTATATCTTAATGATCATTTGGAGAATAAAATAAGATGCTAGATTCAGAATATAAAATTCACTAAAATAATTTCTTAGCTATCTTATTAATTACATACTATCAATGACTATAATACTAATATTTTAATATATTGCCATTAATTTACCCATTAGTAAAATACACTAATAACAAACCACTACATAAAAGTAAATATTAGACCCAAATTCACTGTAAATGCCTATATACAAGAATTCCATAATAAGAAATATCACCAGCAAGGGGCCTGAAGAAATGGCTCCTCTGTTTACAATCCACCCAACGGGAATCTGGGTTCACTGGGCCAAGGGGCACAGAACTTGGGGTCCTCCTATGAACACACCCTGCACATGTCCCCCTGCACCTCCACATGGCTGCTGGGCAAGACCACTGGCACAGGACTGAATATTGGAAGAAAAGCTGCAGTATTTAGTGGGGGAATTTGCCACCTAGAGCCTGTATGGTCCATGCACGGGTGGGCCATGAGTGGTCTTACAGACATGAAGTCTTTGAACCTCGCTTCAAGCGAAAAAGAAAAGAGATTCCAAGTGCCATTCTGGAGTAGTGACCGTTTTTAGAGCAGTGAAAATACTTTGCATGATGTTATAACGATGGATATCTATGTCATTATATTTTTGTCCAAACTAAGATGCGCTGTGGACTCTGGTGATTTTGATGTGTCAAAGCACATTCATCCTTAGTTAAAAAAAAAAAAGACTACCACACTGGTAAATTAAAATAATGACTATGCATATGTGTGGAGAGGGTGTATATAGGAAATTTCTGTAACTTCCTCTCAAATTTGTTGTAAACCTAAAACTGCTGGGAAAAAAGTCTTAAAAACAAGAAATCTCAGGGTAGATATGTTTGGCAAAATTTTGGTTTCAGTTATATACATATATTACATATGTGTGTGTTTGTTGAATTGTGATGTAAAGTGATTTTTTAGGTCAAAAAAAGTTTGCAAGCCACTGTAGTCAAGTAACAATGGCCAAAAAAAGCAAAAATTAACCTCAAAAAAAAATTATACCACCAGAAGCTAAAAATTTGAGTATCAAACATTTCATAGTCAAAGACAGGTCTCCAATCTTAGTAAAAAGTCACATATCCATGTTATTAGTTGACAAAGAAATTAGGGTGGAAATGGTTCAAACAAAAAGCAAATAAAACAAGCAAAAAACGTCCAAAATGATCATCATTACTGGAAACATAACTCATAGCATATGCTCTGATGACAAATGAGCAGTGCCACGTTCTTTGTGAAAAACATCTTCAGCTGCACTATAATTAACTCTAGGAAAATATGCTGGGCTTCTTGGCTTTGTTTTCTAATATTATTCATATACCACTAGTTATTATGTTGCCAAGTAGCATTCATGAAGGTAAATAAAAAATAAACCATGAAATCCATGGATAGAGGAAAAAACAACAATAAATAAATAATTCAGGATCACAACCTCACTCCTCAGTGGCACAGGGTCAAGCCAGCAATAGAATTGTGAGCATCACTCGACTCTATTTATAATATTTCCAAAGTACCTGTGAACTAGCCCTCAGCAAAGTTAGAGTTCTTCTTTCCCCTTAATCATTACTTTCCTTTCAAAATAAATGCAAAACTAAAATAGTCCACACAGTCTAGCAGATTTGAAAACTGTCTACCTCAGGATCACTTAGGAAGTTTGTTAGAAAATTACTCTCGGGTCTAATTTGCTAGACGTCCGGGATCAATTTTAACAAGCATGCATGGGATGCTGGTAGCTGCATTCCTAATAAACTCTTAAACACTAAAAGTTTGAGAACTTCCAACTAAAAAGAAAATCTGTATTTTACATAAAATGCACACATTAGTAATATAAAAAAAGACACCTTTTCACTTTTCTTAATTAAGCACACTTTGTTTTTTTAACACTATTCTTCAGGAAAATAGCTTGAAAAGATAAACTTCAGTGGTCTTAATCTAACAGACTCTTGTAAAGGTACCACCAATATGATTTATGCCTAACTCTAAAACTCCTAAAACTTTCCTAAGATAATTTAAATCCCTTTACACAACTTATGAATTAAAATGGCAACTGGTGTGCTTCTTTTTAAAAACTGAAATATAATTCATATGCCATAGAATTCACCCTTCTACAGTGTACAATTCAGTGGGTTTTAGTATATTCACAAAGCTGTGCAACCATCATCACTAATTTTCGTTTCATTACATCACAACAAAAAGAAACTCCATACACATTAGCACCCACTCCCCATTTCCCCACCTCCACCTGCTGGTAACCACTAATTTACCTTGTCTTTCTTTGGGTTTTCCTATTCTGGATATTTCATGTATAAATGGAACCATATAATATGTGGTCTTTTGTGTCTGGATTCTTTCACTTAGCATAATGTTTTCATGTACATCCATGGTGTAGCATGTATCAGCTGACAGACATTTGGGTTGTTTCCATTCTTAGGCTATCATGAATAAAGCTACTATGAACAATAATGTATATATTTTTGTGTGGAACTATGTTCACAACTCTCTTGGGTATACAGTTTGCCCTCTGTACCTGCAGGTTCTGATCTACAGATTCAGTGAACTATGGACCCAAGCTAAATCTGCAGATGCAGAACCTGACTTATACAGAGGGCCAGCTATAAGGGACTCAAGCATTAGAGGACTATGCTGTCCAGGGGGTCCTGGAACCAATCCCCTGTGGATACTGTATACCTAAGAGATGAATTGCTGGGTCATATCGTAACTCTGTACGTAACTTTTTGATTGCCTATCAATAATTGCAAACAGTGTGTCTAAAAAGGTGGCAGTTTCTCTATACCTTTGATAGACATCAATGTATACACTCTGCTTGATGTTTTAAAATTAGTTAAGGACTTGATGGCACCACTTGGGCAACTATGATTTATTTTGCAATCCCCAAGACAATTCAGGTGGTTTCATACTCTGTCTCCATGGAAGATCCAAAAATAATTTTCAATGAGAAAAATAAAAAATGAAAATACAATATACAAACATATAATTCACAGGTAAAAGAACTGAAGGCAACTAATTTTAACAAAGTTTAAGCATGCTAAGGCAAGAGAGTAGCCTTGAAGTCTTGCTTTTTTGCCAGCAAAGATTTGCTAGAAAACTGCTCAAGAAAGAGAGGAGACACACAGAAGACTGGAATGACACGAGAAAGCCCCTCTCTGAGGCCAAAAGGATTGTGGCTCTGAAAAGTTAAGTTGTCAATATTCATAGGGTTCTTGTGCTATTTTCCAATGCAAATTAAGCCAATAGTTTCTAAGATAGTTAGCTAAATTTAAAATTATCATAGACCTTCAAAAGTCAACAGTAGTAGAGAAATTCAATTGAGTCTTTAAAAATAATACACTAGAAAGTAACAAAAATGGAAAACGTGGCCTGAACTGCTGACACACTTTTTAAAACATTTCTAATATTCATAGGAGCCAACCCACTCATGATAACAACAAACACAGAAATGAAGAGCAGAAATTTTGTGGGCAGCCAAAAAATGATGGCAAACAAGTATTAAAATATGACAAGATGATTTGTATTGCAACATCTACGCAAACTCTACTTCAGCTTTTACCAGATCTACTGATATCTGTTTCTGGTTTTAGATACATCCAGAAAAAGAATACTTAGTAACTCATTTCAAATTAGCATTTCTTAAGGATGATTATATGAACATTATCAAAGAGTACTGCATGCAGAAATCAGACAGTATTGTTCAAAGTGGTGCTAAAAAAGGACACTGCTTTTTAAAAATTCATTTACTTATGTCACCAAAGGAAAAATTACTTAAAATAATAACTATTTTGGGGTCAATTTTCTCTTTTTTTTCATTTTTTGTTTGTTTTGGAGGGAGGTAATTAGGTTTATTTATTCACTTGTTTATTTAGTGGAGGTACTGGGAATTGAACCCAGGACCTTGGGCATGCTAAACATGCACTCTACCACTGAGCTATACCCTCCCCCCTGGGGTCAATTTCTCTATAGGCATCTTAAAAAAAACAATTTTTCAAGGTCATGAGCACTTACATAATTTATAGACGTTTGCCATGTAGGTATCATGTAACTCTTATATGACTGAAGCATCTCAGGGCAATGAATGCATATGAATAAAAGGTATATGAAGGACCAAGAGCATCACTGCTGTATTCTTGGTACTTGTAACACCGAAAAAGCTTACCAGAATGGAGGTAGCAACTGCTAGCTTCCTGAAGGCAGAGTTTTTAAAAGTGTGCTTAAATCAGAGCAATATGTTATCAAAAATAATTTCTAAATGCCAAACTGTCAATCCCCAAACATCTGCCTTACGGGGGCGGTGGAAAGGGGATGTGTGTGTGGCATTACAATGTGGCAGGGATCGTATGTGTAGCTTAAAAAATATTTAATTTATTATAAGAAGATATCTGTTGCTTACTGTTTCCTCACTACAAACATTAAGGAACAGTAGTGCAGTTTTCCTACCTATTTAAAAACTGTGAAACACTGATATACACAGAACCTTCTTTTCTGAAGATCTTTAAACTCAGAACATATACTTAGGAGTGTGATACGCAGACCCTCCTCTCTTTTCCTGCCTCCATCCACCTTTCCCCTTTCTCAGCAAACGGACAGAAGGGCAGAGACTCTGGGCTAAGGTTCAGAAAAGGTGACTAACTTCTTCTGGGTTGATGCTTCCTTTAAACATAAAGCCAACCTTAAACCTTACAACCTAAACAAAACCAAAAACACATTTAGGGGACTACAATGAGAAAGAAATTTTGTACCTTTAAAATGCAGACTTACACAGAGATCTACATTCAATATCTTGTAGAAACTTATGGTGAAAAAGAATATGAAAATGAACCTCTGTATGTTCATGTATGACTGAAGCATTTATGCTGGACACCAGAAAATTGACACATTGTGAATTGACACAACATTGTAAACTGACTATACTTCAATTTAAAAAAAAATATATATATATATAAAGAAAAAAAAAGTAAAATCCAGAATTAATTGCGGAGGAAGAGTAAAACAATATACATCTTGGTTAAACATGGTTACAGAAAAAGAATATACAATTGGTTAGATTTATAAAACACAAACTTCACCTAAACTTTCTCCCCACAAGAAAGCATTAAAATAAGGGAAAGTGAGGGTAGAAGGGGGTAAGGGCTTTAAAGGACTCATTCAGGTCTATTGCGATACTATGAATTTTTCATGTTTTTGTTTTGCAGACATTTGGAACTGTCCTATAGGCTCTGTCAGCCGTTAATAAATAAGACCTGCAGAGCACTGTTATTATTCTTAATCCCCAAATTAACAAGTATTATCTTTACTTCCTAACCTTTGGGTTA